GATCTACAATGACTCAAGAACGACTTAATGGATTGACTTTGATGACGATTGAGAGAAACCTTTTGAATAAAGTTACTTATGAAGCTGTTATAGAAAAGTTTATTTCAACAAATATTAGAAGGATGACTGTTTTTAAGTAACAACAATTTTTTTGTATTATTTTGAATGATATTTTAATTTATGTATCTTTCAATTAAAAACTAAAAAATTAAATTGTTTTGCTTGACTTGTTTTTAAGTAAATTGTTTTTAAAATTTTCAAGTTTTAGGGCATTTTTTTCTTAAATTGCACAGGGCCTTCAAATTCTCCCAGCCGACCCTGCTCTTAACCATCACTACTAGCAGATGCTTCACCATCGTTGTCAGAAGTCTAGTTGTAAGTTTTTGGATTTCACAGAAACAAGGGTGAGCGATGAGGAGAGGGTGTAAGAGGGAAGAGGAGATTGAATGAAAATAGAGACAGGTTATTTAGAAGAAGAAGAAGGCATCAAAGAGGGGGTCGTCGGAGGTGATAAAGATGGTTGAAGGTAGAGGGTGAGAATCTGTTATAGAGATGGCTCGATGTGAACGTAGGGAGAGACAACTGATTAGTTTAGGGTTTATCTTTTATTTTTTATTTTCCATATTTATTTATATAATTAATAATAAATAAATAAATTATTAATTTTTTTAAAAAATCTATAAAGGTATAATGGTCATTTTAAGTCATTTCGGGACCAAATACAAAACAAAATCAAACTGTATGGATGATCCGAGTTAAAAAAATATGTTAGGAACCATACGTGTAAATTAACCGAACCACAGGGACCATTCATGTAATTTACTATTTTATTTGTAAGAGCTTTAGATAAAATAGATGTGGAAGGAGTTGGCATATTAAATAATGCCAACCTAGGTTAAATAGAAAATTTCAATCTTAAAGGGTCAAATTTGTCAATTATTGAAATTAAGGTATGACATTGACATAACTTGATTAACTAGGAACTAAACTAAATTTGTTTAAGTTATTATCAAACATGGTTAAGTTATGAGTTGCAAGACTTATATGAAAGTTAGGAGTTATTTAGGGAACATAGTTAAAACTTAAAAAAGTCCAGGGAGCAATTTTGCTAAATTTCTCAACTTACAAGCCCAACCTCCTTTTTTCTCTTGATTTGAGATGCTAGAATAGGTGTTTGGGATAAATTTTGAAAATAGCTTATTAGTTTTTTAGTTTTTCAAAAAGCTAATAAGCTAAAAAAGTGTTTGTGTATTTAAAAAGCGTTTTTTAAAACAATTTTTTGAATAGGAAAAACTAAAGCTTTCAAAAAGCTTGAAAAATCCTAGCATTTTAGTTTTTTAGCCATTTAATCCTAAAAAACAACTTTTCTTATCCAAATACTTCTTAAAATCCGATTTTTCTAAAAGTCATAAGCTAATAAACGCTTTTCTTAAAAATCGCTTTTGTGATAAAAAAAAGTTAACCCAAACACACCGTACATAGAAGAAGGAAGATTTGATTTTGATAGTGGGTTGGTGAAATTAAAAGTATCATTGAAGAATATCCATGAATCGACATCTTAATCTCCAAAGGAAAACTTAGGAGGCGGTAAACCTCACTTCTCCATTCTCATTTAAGCTTTTTAGATTTATGATTTAATCTCAAATCCAAATTTCCTTGATGACTTGTGGAGTTGTGGTCAGGCCCGGTCCTAGACATTTTGGGGCCCGGGGCAAAAAAAAAGATTGGGGCCCTTATAAATTTTTTTTTCTTGTAAAGGAGGGCGGAACCTCCGAAAATTTTTATTAATTAAAAAATAATACAATTGAAGGCTGGGGACTCCCCACCTATGGAAAAAAAAAGGGCTTCGGGACAGGCCCCGAAAGCCAAACAACCTAGCAGGTAACAAACAATCACACGGATTCACAAAAAACAAATTAACAAAACAAAGGAAAAGACGACTACCTGATGGCTAATGTGATAGCTCAGCAGGTTGCTTTCTGTTGCTTGTATATAAGATTATATCCTTAATCCTTTGAGCCCAAAGCAATGAGAAATCTGAAGATTAAAAATACAAAATAATCTTTAAATATCAGCAAACTCGAATTTAGCAACATCACAGAAAATAGATTAATTTTTTTTTGAAAAAAAATTACCTGTAGGCTGTAACTTGCTTAGCTGTTAATAATCTTTGAGCAATCTCAAATCTGATTATCTGAACATAAAAAACAGTTAAACAGAGAAATCAAAAATTTTATTTCATATCTTATTATTTTTTAATTGTATTATTTTTTAATTAATAAAAATTTTCGGGAGTCCGAAATAAATGTATGCTGTATGCAATAGATAAATAGTTCACAGATTAAAAAATTAGACTTACATGTATTAAAAAAAGGAGTTATCCTCTTGTCGAATGTCAAGTTCCGATTCTGAAACCGTCAAAGCGTTGTACGCGTTGTATTGTACTTCCAAGACTCCAAGTTCATACGAAATCCGATTATCCGAACCATTCACCAAACGATTCAGAAAGAGAACCACCAAACCATCTATTTCAGAAAATTGAAATCGGAAAATATAAGAGAAATAGAGAATGAGTATTGTGCAATCCGTAATCGACTAATTGGCGACGGCGAATCAGAAAATCAAAATTCAGAGAAGAGAAGTTGAGGAGGAGATTGGAGAAGGGTAACTGATTAACTTCAAGTCTGGAACTAGAAATAGAAGAAGGAGACTCGAGAACTAACCGTTAGAGATGGTGTATCGTTTGGAGTTTCCATGGAAACGAAGCTGAAGACAAGCCGAACTGCCGAAGATTCAACTGCGATTTGAGTCTTGGAAACTGTAACCGAGAAACTCAAACACGGTAGGTCACACTCCCGCTTCCGCTTCTTCAAATTGGGCGCAAATATTAATATTGGGCCAAAAAATATGGGCTGTGATTAATATAGGCTTAAAAAATATGGGTTGCGACTAATATAACCCAATAACAGGTATAAATATGGGGCCACTTTCGCTTCAACGAGTGGGTTGATTGGTTTCACTAACCCACTTCATCATCTCTCTCTACTTTCTCTCTCTCATTTTCTCTTGTACCATGTGTTTTAAAACTTGTACCTTAGTTGTTTTGTATTTTTTTCAATTGAGTGGGTTGAGTGGGTTCAAAAAGATATGATTTCCGTGTGTTGTGGGTTCGGAAAGATGAAGAAAAATAAAAGAGAAAAAGTGATGTGGCAGTGGGTTCCGTGGGTTGTTAGGGAGGAGGGAGTCGTTCCCTCTCAACCCACGGAACCCACTGCCACATCACTTTTTCTCTTTTATTTTTCTTCATCTTTCCGAACCCACAACACACGGAAATCATATCTTTTTGAACCCACTCAACCCACTCAATTAAAAAAAATACAAAACAATCAAATGTAAAATCTTAATTAGCAATAGAGTTATCGGCGGTACCACTCTCGCTTCAACGAGTGGGTTGATTGGTTTCACTAACCCACTTCATCATCTCTCTCTACTTTATCTTTCTTATTTTCTCTTGTACCATGTGTTTTAAAACTTGTACCTTAGTTGTTTTGTATTGAGTGGGTTCAAAAAGATAGGATTTCCGTGTGTTGTGGGTTCGGAAAGATGAAAAAAAAATAAAAGAAAAAAATTGATGTGACAGTGGGTTCAGTGGGTTGGGAGGGAACGACTCCCTCCTCCCTAAGGTGTTAGATCAATGTTTGTAACACTATATGTCCATTCCTAATACTATAGAATTTTACATTTGAGAAGTTAGAGGTAGAGTGGTGTTATGAAGTTTTGAATATTAGTCTGTTTACCATGCGGTCGCTTATTATGCTTCCGAATGAACACCTTAAGAGTATTAGGTGATAAAATAGCTTAAAAACACTTAAGAATTTGTATTTAACTTACATAATGTATTAGAGTTTGTAGTTCATTCAATTGTATTCATATAGGTTACCATTGATTGATTTCCACTTAGAGAACTTGTTGGTGGACTACTCTACTCTCGAGATAGGTACTTTACCATAAAGCGCATGCTCCCTATTATACATTTGTAATTTGAGATGTTTTCTAGTTTGTATACCATTTTATATGCATTTTTTTAAAACACTATTAGGAATTTAATTTTTCCATTCATAAAATGCTTTGAAGACTAAAACTAAACTTTAGAACAAGGACCAAGGTAAGATCTTATGATCCTAATGGGTATCCTAAAATCTTAATATAGTTATTGCTTCACAATCAATCCTAATGAGATTGTGATCATTTTCGTTTGTAGGATCCTAAGATTAAGATTGAAATCTTAACAACCATACTTATTTATAATGCTTTGTTAAAAGACATCATTTCCTGATAAGTAGTCCCCGATTTTGATTATTTTAGTGGTTAAAATACCATAATATAGATCTTCTAAACATCCTCGAAAAATAGAAAAATAAACCCAATAATGTTGATTAAGAAAAGGTAACTAGTTTGGTTTAAATATGATAATTTTTATAAACATTCTAAAAAAGTTATAACTATTGAAAACGAGGAAGACATAATTTACACCAAAATAGATACTACTTTGCCCACAAGAATAACATATGCAAGTGCAACCATCCCACATCTGATCTATATCTAGATGCTGGCAAACAAACTATGTTCTATGGTATTTTTGTGCATGAAATCTATGTTTAATCTATCTCTGAATAATTTAACATGTATCACCGACCACTTATAGATATCAAGTTATCGTTTCTCTGGACAATTTAACACGAATCACCCACTTATGACTTATAGATATCAAGTTATCGTTACTATTGTATAAAACAACCATATACTATGATATTTTGTTAATATTATGGGAATAATTAAAATTTGGTACCAAAGGGCTTCTAGCTCAGCGGTATCCGGTGTTGCCCTCCCTCCTTGAGGTTGCCCTCCCTCCTTGAGGTTGAAGGTTCAAGTCCTAGTCTATTTTATTCGAGAAGAATCCTATTCCTATATGCTCAATGCAAAATTACAAAATCGCCCCTTGGAGTCTCCGAATTTCGAAAACTATTAAGTGTAAACTACAGAGCTACGTCCCCACTCTCCACGTGTCCCTTTGGTTTGCTTTCGGATCGCCGGCAATGCAATACCTGCTCTTCCACCACCACCACATCATTCACCTGTAAATCATTGCTGTCCCTTTCGTTTCTCTCACCTCAATCGGCGCCTTAATTTCAATTTTCGATCAATACTAATTCGATCCACGTTGCAGAACAAGGGTTCAGTAATTTCACCGTTTTGATCGAGACCCTGCTCCGATCGGTAGGGTTTCATCTCAATCGGAATTGTTGTTTGTTTTATAAAATTTCAATTCGAGGATTATCGTATAGAGGTACAAGATAAGATAATGAGTTTTCAAGATATCGAAGCTGGTCGCCCGCTCAATTCGAGACGCGGTGGCTACAACAATGGCATGAGGAAACAGGATCCGACTCAAGCTGTTGCTTCTGGAATTTTCCAGATCAATACGGCAGTCTCTACGTTTCAGAGGCTAGTAAATACCCTTGGTACTCCGAAAGACACCCCTGAGCTTCGAGAAAAGCTGTACGTCTGATTCATTTTTGAGCTTTACTTCGACTCAGTTATGATAACCAGGGTTAAAATTCAAAACAAACCTGATTCGTTTTAGTTTCTTACATTTGATTTAACATGTTTGATGTATAATTAGTTTGTGATTGCTAGTATATTATAGATCACAAACAACAACGCATCCTTAAATATTAGGATTTATGAAGAACTCTATTTTATTCTGTAGCTTTACTTTCGCTTTGTTATGAACCATAAAACCTGTAAAAGTGCAACCACATTATTGTTTCCTTTCATACAAACGACGATGAAATAAAAATGCCTTCCATGAATTCATCGTTATAATCATTTTGACTAGTTTGTATGACAACTGTATACAATGATGGCGACTATTGTCTTTTGGTGGTTTTCACATGACAGGCACAAAACCAGACTACATATTGGGCAATTGGTGAAGGATACTTCAGATAAACTCAAGCAAGCAAGTGAAACAGATCATAACTCTGATGTTAGTGTAAGTGACACTTTGATTCTTCTCAATGTATTTGTATTATAAGTACCTCTTCATATAGCCTGTGAGGCTGTGAGACATGAGGTTTGAGTTGGTGGGTTTCTTAATATCTGATTATCATAAAACCCCTCTTCAGTTTCTTCTCTTTCTTCATGTTTCTTGGTGGTGGAATCATCATGTTTTGTGCAGGCCAGCAAAAAGATTACTGATGCTAAACTTGCAAAAGATTTTCAAGCAGTTCTTAAAGAATTTCAGAAAGCTCAGAGACTTTCAGCTGAAAGGGAGACAGCTTACACACCTTTTGTTCCTCAATCTTCTCTTCCTTCTCGGTAAGTTGCAATTGAATGCATACCAAATTCTATATAAAAAAAAAAAAAAAAATCTGAATGTAGAATTCTGGTTGATTTAATTATTTTACTTTTTCTTTAGTGATCCAGCCAGTGAAATGGATTTAAGCTCAGACAAAATTCAAGAACAACGTGTTCTTCTTGTGGACTCCAAAAGGCAAGTTCTTCACTTGATTAGTAAGGGAAAGTTGCAGACTAACAATTTTTTCAAGTTGTTTTTGGGTTTTTTCAGACAGGAGGTTTTGTTGTTGGACAATGAGATTGCATTTAATGAAGCGATCATTGAGGAAAGAGATCAGGGAATACAAGAGATCCAGAATCAAATTGGGGAAGTAAATGAAATTTTCAAAGATCTTGCTGTTTTGGTTCATGATCAAGGAGCAATGATTGGTAAGAAAGCTTTCTCGTTTCACTTTGTTAAAATTTCAACTTTTTATAACGCCTCAATGATTCTTTTTTCAGATGATATTGGGACCAACATTGAGAATTCTCATGCTGCCACTTCACAGGCAAAATCCCATCTTGCAAAAGCATCAAAAACTCAAAGATCAAACTCTTCCATGGTAAATTATATTATATTATTACTTAAGTTTTTCCTGTCTTTACTGCTGCTCAATAGTTTTAATTTTTCATGCAGACTTGCTTGCTTTTGGTGATTCTTGGAATTGTGCTTCTGATAGTGATCATAGTTCTTGCAGCTTGATCCTCAACATTTACCAAAATAAATAAAATCAAACCTGTTTTAAGTGATAAATAGCAGCCTTCAAGAAACGTTTTTTTGAGCATGTGTGTTTCTTTAAGGCCAGGTGGCCGATTCTTCTTGTTTCCTCGCATCATAGATAGTGTTTGTTTGCTTATGTAAATCTGATTATCTGATTCTTTATGTCGTTTGTTGATGTTTTGTCGGTAATATAACTATAATCTAATCTTTGGGCTTGTGTTACTTTCATATACGCTTGTTGCAAGTGTGAAATATTACAAAAAAAAAAAAAAAAAATCAAATACATTGTTCAGCCATTTAAAATTTCTCAGCTTTTCAAAAATTGGTACCTAGATTCCACATAATTCTCAGCATCCCACAGAAACGACCCAAAAGCAACCGCTTCAAGAACCAGCATTGTCAACCCAGAAAACGTCACATTAACCACTTCATCATTAGAAGCACCCAACGACCCATCCTCCGAGACCTTAATATCAGGCCTTCCAAACAAAGCCTGTGTTTGTTTTTCAATCAAAGAAATCGCTTCTTTTGATCTTATCGTTGCATATCTCTGAAGTGTCTCAGCATCCAAATACATCACATAAGATCTTAACCTATACAGCTTATCATCATCACCACCACCACCCGTTAAGCCCTCATCTTCCATGTCATAATCGGGCTGGATCCGGATCAACGAATCCGGATCCCAAAACGGGCTTTGCGGGACCGATGGGTCTGCAAAACTCGATTGTTGTTCCTTGAAACCTTCCGGAAGCGTGTTCATGGATCTCTCGAGTTGAAATCTTTCATCCACCCGTTTCAAGAAGTATCCATACATGATTGATGCAGCGTATAGTTTTCCGAGTTTGATTTTGCTGATCTGGACGATGGATTGTAAGGGCCCCACGAGGCGGTCCCCGAGGACGAGGGCTACGTGGTTTTGTATCATCTCAAGTGCTTCAGCTGAGTGGACTGATTCCAGCTTCATTTCTTGGTTTGGCCAGAAGTCAACCCTTCCGGAAGGATCCGAGGTTGATGATATTTTCGGGATCATTAAGATTTCTTTGTCCACAAATTTATGAACAATCCAGCAGTACATTATCTCTTCTAATATCTTCTGTCTGTCTTTTTCTTTCACTTGGGCTATTCTCCTGAAATTTAATGACTACAAGATATGATAAATTTTGTCTCTAGGAAATATGATATGAAAGGTCATAGCAAAGTTGCTCACTTGTAAAGGCTGAGGTCCATAGATGAAGGAGGGCGTTCTTCTTTTTGAGCATCTTTTTCATTTTGAAGGTTTTCAAGCTGTTGATCAATGGCTGCAGGGAGGAGATGAGGATGGGTTTGTAAAATTTGTTCCAGGAGTTGACCAACTGGAGATTCGAGCTGATGTGGCGCTACTGGAACCAAATCATGACCTGAACTGCCAGATGCTTTTGCTATACAGCTTCTGGTTCGGGATGATTCGGCCCCACCTCTTGCCATGGGGAATGGAGAGCTCTATAATACACAAGAAATTAAGAATCATGAAGACAATTGTAAGCACTTGACAACATAGGCAAGAAAGCATAACAATAGGATTTAGGACTTTCACTTTAGGGCTTACTTAAACCACATATTAATTTAAAATTGGACATGTTTAGCAATAACGTATTTGAATTCCTATTATTGATTGGGGAGCCACTTGCTGTATAAAACTATAACCACAATCAAGTAGAAATATGAGACCATTAATCTGCATAACCTTAATTAGAGATTAGTATATCAGAAAGAAGGATGCCACCCCCCCCCCCCTAATGTAATGTGATCAAAACTTACATTTAAGCATAATGTGTCAAATTCAACCCTTTTAGGTCGTCATAGTCATCCAAGCTTTTGTGAACAATTTGAAACTCCCTCTGTTTATGTCTTCACTACAGCTCTCTCGTACATTAAAAAAGTTTTAACATTAATTTCAGTTCCATATCATCACCCCTACTCCCCTAGGACCACAGTCCACAGACCACAAATATATAATACGAGAGTATAGCTTGAAACTCCATTTATAGAAGCTTTGAAGCCTTGAATCAAAATTGGAGAACACCCAAAATTAGAAAGAAACGAGATTCAATTTAGTCAATCGGATTCGGATTTCACCTTTTCAAGCACTTACTTCCGAAACAATTTACTAATTACTACAGTACCTAAAAGGCAAATTACGTTAATTGTACGAATATCAAACGGCTTAAACGTCAAGCATAGAAAAAGGAAAATGCAAATGAAGAGCGTATTACCTTAAGAAAGCCGAGAGAAGGAAGGGGCCTAGAGTCAGAAAAGGCATGGACATGTCGGAACTCATGAGACCTAGCACAGCAAGGAGGAGTCGGAGACGGATAGAATACGGCTGTGACGTCGGTCAACACGCCGCCGGAGATTTGCATAGTTGTTGCCTTGCTGGTTTTGGTGATTGGAAAAAGGGGGCTTCGGAGGGGAGGGGAGGGGAGCGGAGCAGAGTAGAGATATTTTTGTTGAACGTTCTAGGGAAGAGTCAGTCTCGCACGGCGTGTTTGGATTTGGAGCCCATGTCCCCCATAGCCTATTTTTATATTATTTTTAATATCTTTAATAAAGTTTCCATTTGGCAAGGCTTTTTATGTTGAAGAAACTTAACGTAATTAACTTTGTTTTATAAATAGAGAAATTAAATATCCTCCCATAATTTTTTTCTACTATTCTTCTACCCATGTCAAATGATGATATATGTCATATTTAATTTTTTTTAATAATATTTTAATCCATTTGTTATTGTTTAACATAGATAGGAAGATAAGTAAGAATATATTGTAGAAGGATATTTAATTTCTCTCATAAATATATCTAGCTATAGTGTTTTTTTTTTCTTTTTTTTTGTACACGAGTTATTATTGAATTATTTATGGTGTTTAAAAAACATCAATATATTTAAGCTGTAGGGAGTGGAAGAATGAGAAGCTCGACAAAGAGAATGTGGAGCTGAGATGTACTCGGCAAACACCGCCCTCCATCTCGGCATGGCACAAATTCTTTTCTCCTCCGCAATGGGTTGCCGAACTACCAAGAGGAAGGAGGGTGTTTAGCTGAGGTGGAGCCCGGTGGTCTCAGCACCACTCTCTTCAACCTTATATGTTAATATTTATTTGACATCTCTAGCATCATCTCCGACTACCTTGGTACCTCCGGTGGGATTCTGATCATATTTTCCGCCCAAAACAAACCCATAAATGTGTGTGTTCAAAACAGACCTAAAAATTGTTTTCAACCTGCATCTTTGATTTTTTAGCCTATAAGAAACTCTTAAATCGATTTTGAAACCTAAAACAAACCCATAAATCGTTATGTGTATGAACCTAAATGGTTTTTGCATCACCGCATTATGTGTGTTCCTTAAATATGGTGACTTTTGGTATTTCATCTTTGCTTTTTGGATTTTTATCTTCTCCGGTAATCTTCTTGTGTGTGTTTAAGATCTTAAGAAATCATTTCATCAAATATGATGGGTTTGGTTAAGATGAAGCACATGTTTAGGTTTCCTTAAATATGGGTTAAATCTCCAATCTCGTTTTGTTTATCAACCCAACCTTGTTATCATCAAGAACACTCAATAACATGCAAAAATAAAAACAACAACAAAAACCTAACATTAGGATATAAGAACATATTTGGGTTTCACACCATCTTCCCCATTTTGGAAATTGATTTTTGAACCTCCGTCTTCTTCAAGATGAGGGAGATGAGATTTAGCTAATGTTATCCAAAGAAGATGACCGAAAAATTGATTTTGGATGGAAAAGATAACCGAAGATGCAAAAGTCGTTGGAAACCGGCTAAACCTACACTACTCGGTGTTATTGGTATTTTTTAAACACGAAAAGAGAGTTCAATGGTAAATCACATACAAAAAAACTTTAATAACTTTAATGATTAAATGTTCACAGGAGGCAAAATTCCTTACCCTTTACGAGTCATTAACCCAAATTTAATCAACACACCAACAAAATTTTAGACATTACATCTCCATCTATAATAAAACAATCCTTTTATGACACCTGTCATCTCCTCGCTCCTTTATATTTCAATGTAAAATACCGATTATGCCCTTCTTCCCCACCCAGAAACTTTCAATGCTAAATAACTCGTCTTATTATCTCTCTCACTATTCAGTAAAATCAGTGAGCACAATTACATCCCTTTCCTTATAAATCGCAAAAAATCAACATCTAAAATCATATCTTCCATGTTAATTAGTATCTTTTCCTTTTCTTCTTTCTTCCCCTCTTGTTGTTTCTTCCTATGGATACCGGTACACCAGCAGAAATTTCAGAAAGCCAAAAACAAAAATCGATTTCGTCGTTTACATTTGAATCAGTCGCTTGAAGGATTCCATATCCCCTTCTCTCAACTTGCAGCCATAATTGATGGTTCCACTTCTGATTTTGATTTTGGCATCTGGTGACCTTTTTTTCAATTTGTGGCGGTCAACAGATCTCTAGGTCGTCACCGCCTCTGTCATCATGTGACTAAAGAACTGTACCCTTCAATTCGGGAACACCATTTGATTTTTGAAGCTTAGCGATGGATAATCGAGGTATTTAGGTATGGACAGACCGTACAAGAATCCAACATAGTATAAGCAGATGCAACTGAAATCTACTGCTATAATTTTCTTTTTGTTCACTGTTGCTTAAAGTGGTTTCATGAATCCTAATCCTCCACCATGTGTTTTCTTTAATTTTTACTCATTATCTGCATCAAACCCTTTTCTTCTTGCATCGTGGCGTTGTTTCTCAACGAGTTCATAACGGAGTGAGAGGGGTTTTTTCCCCTTATTTGTAGCCCTAAAATACTGTTAAGTTCGTCAACTGGGTCGAATTCTCTTCTCAACTCAATATCTTCATCTTCTTTCTTACTAACTTGGATTGGCAGGTATGTGTTTGTGTTTATGCCTTTGTGTTCAGATTATGGTTTTGTTCAAATATTGTAATTTCACATCTTTCCTTTATACTTTCTTGAAGCTAAGGAGTTAAAATTGATACCGCCAAAGACGTCCTTTGGCTGTTAAACAGGTACATTGTGTCTGTATTTTCTAATCTCAATTGATTTTCTTGTAGGGTTACATTTTTCTAATTTGCAATTTGTGTGTGAGTATGTGAAATATTTATTGCTGGTAAGGCTGATATACACTTACAAA